GGCAAATCAAATTCTTAATTGACAATAATGCCCTCCCATGTCACCTGTTTCTTAACGATCAAACGGAGAAAATAGTAAATTCGGTTCATCTGATTAAATAAAAGTATTAAATTAGATTTTTACACAAATGGTAGTTTCCTTCCTCCTTGTTGAAGTGAAACAGAGGACTCTGTTTTCGTCGATGCACTCAGAGTTAAGAGAAAAGCCTTCTCTTCTTGTCTGATGTAAGTATTCGTTATTCCTTCCTAATTGAAATTTGAGAGATATAAATTCCTTTTTTTATTTGGTTTTTAAGATAGAGATTTTTAATTTTTTTAATTATTTTTTTGTAGATTTTTGGATACAGTTGATGTTATGATTAGGCTTGTTGATAATGGATTCTGCAAGGAGTTGGTTTAAGAAATTTCAGCAAAAGAATGAAAATTCACCCAAGAAAAAGAAAGAAATGGAAAATGCCAAGTATGCACATAAGCCTCCCATTGATGGGGCTGGGGCACCTTCAACTGCCACCAAACAGAAGGCTGCCGCCGCGAAGCAGTATATCGAGAATCACTACAAAGCTCAGATGAAGAATTTGCAAGACAGAAGGGAGAGGTACTTGCCCAAATAGAATACTGGGTTCTGGTATTTACTTATCGCTGCTTGTATGACCGCCTCCCTTGATTTGCTAGCACATGTTGTGCTTTGAAATCTGTGCTCAGCATCCTCTAGATATTTTTTGTTTTGGAACTCAAACCATTAAGATCAGGGAACCTCATATCCTATGTATCTTAAAGGATTTTAAGCTTGTGGATGTTTTAATCTGCTGCTGAAGTTCATTTGTTTCAATAAGGTCTTTCTATTTATTACTGAAATTAGGTTGTTTTTCTTGATTGTTTTGCTTTGGCATAGAATGTGTTCCATATCAATTTCTATTTTTATTTCTATTTCAGTAATGATTCTCTTCGTGTTTTATTATTTATGTTGAACTTCTCATAATTTTTCTAACAATTGTCTATATGGAACATAGACGTTGGATGTTAGAGAGGAAACTTGCTGATGCTGACATTACTGCAGAAGAGCAAATGAGTATGCTTAAATTTTTAGAGAAAAAGGAAACAGAATACATGCGCCTTCAAAGACACAAGATGGGTGTTGATGACTTCGAACTTCTGACCATTATAGGGAGGGGTGCATTCGGGGAGGTCTTGCTCTTATTTTTTTTTTATTGTTTTCTTATTTGAATTTTACTTTTATTGTCAGTAATATTGTTTCTTATACTAGCGAGTGATTTATATATGCTTTGCAATGCAATCCATATTTATATTCAAATTTCTCCGATATGCATCTCAGCCTGGTGGTTAATATTGTATAGCTCTAGCATTTTTGCCTGCACCATTTTCCTCTTCTTTGTTTAACGCAAAAGTACATAATTCTACATTTTTTCTATGTTTCTGGTCATGGAAGATGTCTGCTGTCATCATGCAGGTAAGACTTT